TGTCTACTACCTCAATCGGTTCATCGAGCCCACCCAGTCTTGCAGTAGCACTTTACACTCTGCAGGTGTGAAGCGCATACCAAACCGCGAGGCAGAATTATTTAGATTATTTAGTATTGTTTACATTGCCGTGGGGTCAGATCCTAGAAGAGCTATGTCGTCTGCGTACTCGATGTCTGTGAGCGGATGCCCAGGGAGCACTTCGACTCCACAGGCGTTAGTGGCTGGTAGTGAGCCTTCCATGGTCGTATCAGTGACGAAGTTGAAGAGGAAAGGTGAAAGAGGACAGCCCTGTCGGACACCACTTGATGTGGTGAATTCAGGAGAAAGATTCCCGTAGACCTTTACACGGCCGCGGGAGTTGGCTTACATCGCCTTATTGAGGTTCAAGAATAAATTGGGGACAACTTTGCTCCACAGACAGCACTGAACTCTTTGGTTTTATTAGTATTTCGGTCGTATTGAATAATGCGCTGGCGGTCACGGTCAACCTTTGGGCGATCGGAGTGTTCGGTTTTTGGGGCCGACCTTTTCTAACCCGTCTTTCCTCGGGAGAAGGTAGCATCCCTGCTACCATAAATATGGACATAGCGGTTGCCTGAGGAAAATGCCTTACTGCCCTCTTACCCCTTGTCGCAGAGGGGACTCGCTGTCCTTCGTCTGACTGCTCCACTTTGGCCTTCCTGGATGATTGAATCTTAAGGAACTGAGTTCGAGCCAGTACAGTCCGCAGGATCATTGCAGCACAGAAGCCCGACCACCGCGACAAGGTGACAGCTTTTGGTCCACGCGTTGAGAGCAGTGGTTCAATCAATTCATCCGCGTCAAACGGCTTTCTTTCTTCCGTATGGCATGGAGTGACAGCCACCAGTGAAGGCGATAGCCTTGATACAAGGTCATATTTAATGTGTGACAGCTGTATCTGGGTCACTAACATTGGCTTGTTCTTGTTCCACGGTCCTCATCCGGGAGACAGCATTTACGAATGTGACTGGGTTGACTGGTAAGGGATTTCATTCCTCGTTACGTCCCCGGGTCGTCTCTATCCGACACAAGGCTGGGCTCTACTAGGCAAACGGTCCTCTGGCATACGAAGTACATGGCATAACCAGCGTGAGCTGTAAAGTTGTGTTTGACGGGGGATCGAGTGCAGTGACAATCAGAATGAGATTGGAAAAATTTTGAGGGCTTGGAAGCTGGGCTTTATTCATCCAGAACTTTGACACAGCTGAAAACGAAAAAAAGTGATTTAACAATGAACGATGAAACGTTTGAAAAATAGAGCAAATACACAACAGGAGTATGACCAACTGATCTGTCGTGGGAGAATGGACTTTCCAGAAAAGTCACTTCAGTATTATAAATCTGATATCCCCACAAGACCCACGCAATGCTTCATAGGCACCGACAATTAAGCACATAGGCTGTGAAAATCTTCTACACGCATCGGCCACGTCTCTCATCCATAACATGGGACAGATAGGCCCGCGGCACTGTACGCTCCACCCTTGACAGTCAAACTGATGTCATGTCAGCGCCACAAACTTCGGAGGTTAGAAAATGCTACCAATTCGGGAGTTGATTTCGCCTTTTCACAGTCCGCCGCCAGGTGAACGGACTTATCTACCACATTGATCGGTTCACGTGCAAGCATGAGGTTTAAGTTTGGCCTTAACCCACTTTTGTAGCAGCGCTTTAAACTTTGCAAGTGCGAAGTGCATGCTAGACTGTGCAGCAGGAGTATTCAGGTTATTTAAAAGAATCCAGAGGGTCTGGTCCAAGTAAAGCAATGTCACCGGTGTTCACGAGCGAACTTCCTGGAGGTATTTCGATACCCAAGGTTTTAGAGGTGGCTGGAGGAGACTCAAGGAGGTTGGAAAGAAAGGACGACACAGGATGCCCACGTCTGAGATCACTGGATGTGATGAACTCAAGATAGAATTTGTACCAGGCACTCATCCATAGCATCCACTACAGAGTTCACGAGAGATGGTGGAGCATCAGTGCTGAACGCCATTACACTCTTCATGATGATGGGTTCATGTATAACATAAGGTTGACGAAAACTCGGGGATCGTGTCTACCTGATCAGTCGCAAGAGGGACAAAATCTGTCATAGGCTGTCGAAGAATTTCCGCAACCTTTTGAATAGTGTATTACGGGTGGGCAATTTATTGCAATGCCTCGAATGTCGCACCATCTGAAACACGAGGTGACCTGGTGCACCACATTCAGTTGAAGCGGATCGTTATAAGCTAAAGATTCAGCTGGATTTAATAGAGTCTTCTGTCAAAACCACACTCACGTGCAAATGAGAGTATTTGTCATATTTTGCCATCATCTAAACAGACAAGCTGCAAGATTTTTGGCTTCCCATGAAGACTTACTTCCTACGTTTCCTCAACTTCTTGTATCCAGGAAAACTCTTGATCAACACACTGGCTCCTCTTCCCTCCAGCTTTGATAGTACGTCGATATGTATTTTATTCACCATCAATGCTTCCAGTTTTCAGTTTGTTTTACATTCTGACCGGCATGCAGTTTTAATTGTAGTACACTGCAGGCAGAAAGTGTGGTTGTGTGAACTGCGTTGTAATGGAAATTCATTTCTGCACAGGAATTAGCTCGAAGTCATCGCAGGTGGTTTCGGCGTGGTTGATTTACTTCGGGATTCTTGCTAAACAAGGTGGGCGGATTTTGCGTATCTCCAAGAAGCGCGAGGCAATGCGCTGACGGACAAATGTATGATCCGAGCCAATGTGGGTGTTTAGAAAAGAGCACCGTTTTTAGGTGCTCCGTGCCTTGGAGTGGTTCATGTATGGATTCCGTTTCGGAAGTCAATACAGCTCGGAAGCAGTCTGTAGCCAGCACAGTTGCCACATGCCTATATTTCCCTCGGTGCCATATCCAGCCAATGCAACCACCAAGGAGAGTCTCAACAGCACTGCGCTTTCGTGATCCCAGTAACCACAACTATATTTGACCTTTCAGCTTTAGCTAGTGAAGCTCTCGGAGGCAGGGGGAGAAGAGCTAAGAAATAAAAAAGGAAAGAATCGAGGTGCCAACGGTGATTTATTTGTTTATCCGCCCACTTATATGCAGTAGACCAGGCGGTGCGGCTGGTAGCACCATTCAGTGGTGTGTTTGACCTGGAATTATTTATCTGTGCCTGTGATCACTGGGTGAGCTGGGTTCAGATGGACGATTAGGGTCCCGAACCAAAACTTTTGACAGGAAGGCCTGACGGTAGGCCAGCGATAGTTGGCTTACTATCAAAGTGGTTTGCTTTTTTAACAGCAAGTGGTTGCATATGTTCCAGCCTTCAACATGGAGAGCCAGGAAACCGTTTGTGATATTTCCTAACCAGTCTTGTTTCAGAGACATTCAGTGTCACATCAATACCCCCTATTCCTCATTGTAGCTCAGTGGGCGACAGAAATGCTGAAATAGTAAGGCACACTCCATGATAGAATCTGAGCACCGATATTCTCTTTCACTTTGCCCATATCTTTGTTGCCTTATCGCTCTGCATGCCTTGTACCCGACCAAACATCGCTGTCTCTTTTCAGTTTACAGCAATGGAGCAGAATCCAACCAGTCAATTTCCAATGCGGGATCCCGTACGAGTTTGGGTCGATGGTTGGTATGTTCTTTTCACATTCATCAAAACATCCCGTTCCAAGTTTTGATCTTACCCATTTTGGACATGCAAACGCACTACGTCAGGCCAAGGGACTCGGTGATCAGCTTGTTGTTGGCGTGCACTCCGATGGTTTGCTCATTAAAAAAAACTACCTCTGTTTTAGACGAGATAAAATTACATAAAGGTCCTCCTGTCTTCTCTGAACAAGAACGTTACCGGTTGATTGGAGCTATTAAATGGGTTGATCAAGTAAGTATTCAGCTATTCAGCCATATATATATATATATATATATATATATATATACAACGAACTCATAACGGAACTTCAAGGTCCGTTTCCACTGTAGGCTAAAATGGTCACACTTCCGCGAAATCTCGTTGATTTAGGAATGGATTGTGTGAGCTTATTAGTCGTTTTGGAATCAATAAACAATTCTCCTCACAAGCTATCCCATGCTCGCTTGATCTGCCTGATTAATCGTTTCCAAGTTTCCCGATGTCATGGACCTCGTCCACGGTTTACTAGTGAACGTCAGTTCTTTGATTCACTTCTTAGTCGTGTACACCGATAAACTGCACGGTCGGGATAGCTAACGTGGTGAAACTAACCTAAATTGTCCAGTATTTTTGCGGTTTTGGTTCGCCTGAATAAACGAGTTGTCTTCATCGTGAGGAGTGATCGATTGAACAAACAGGAACCTGAAGTTATTTGCCAATGTCACAGCATGGACAATCAGGATTTGCTCCCAGTTCAACTGTTTAATCTAAAAGTTAGGTTATAAAATCAGCCGATGTGCAGCTTTGAAGGACGTACCTCTGGGAGTCGTCGGTCGTAATTGGGACAAAACACGCACCAGTATTGGTACAGCAGGGAACTAGGCATGTGGTGTTTCTTTTGAAATACCAAATAAGCACAAAACTATGGAAAAATCTCTATCGCTGCTCGATGCGAGACTTCGTGTTCTTTCAAGCACTGAGCATAATACGAGCGAACTAGCTGTTGTAGGTCAGCTGAAGCGTATTGTGCGTACAGACAGAAAAGCCTGAAAGAACCAAACGGCTAGGAATGCCATGAAACTTTGCCACCCAATACGCAAAACGGCACTAAAAAACAACTCCGAGTGAGGTCAGGGAGGATAGTGTAACATGCACCAAGAACCACACTGTCTTTACCGCAAGACTGGATATTTTGACCGTCTGTCTCTGTACCTACTTCATTCATTCGATGCCCTCAACTCTAATCGTGCTCTA